CCCTGAGTGAGCCTTCTGAGGGCAAGGATTATGACCAGGGTCATGTTCAGGGCTTGGTATGTGGAGAATAATCAACATTTGTTGAATTGGGTAGATTTTTACTATTGGTCCGTGTAGTGATTTGTAGACCTATTTCTTGTCTTTTTTTTTTTTTTTTTTTGCATTTTGACACTTTCTTTTATTTAAGATTTGTGACAGTGAAGAACTTATAAAATATCATTAAATTCTATTTGCTAGACAATAAACATGCATTTCCAAATAAGGGATACATTCCACAGTACAGTATAAATTATTTTGTCTTCTATTTTTTAAAAATAATTTTATTGAGAAACAAATAGCAATGAGACAGTTTCACAACCGATTACTAGCACATTTTCAATAATCAATACACTGCATATCATGGTCTTAGTGGTTATTCATTGTACAAGACACAGACATGATATCTTGTCTCAAACACTATTAGAACAACCTCTCTATTCATTGAATTAAGAGAATGGAGCTGTATATCTATGCTAACTATTTTGAGTATACCGATACAAAATCATCGTTCATTTCTATCCCACATTTTTGGTTAGTTTTGTCAGAGAAGGGCATTCCATTGTCATTTAAATACTGTAGGTGCATGAATTCAGCAAAATATCCCAATATAGTCCAGTAGCCCATAATAGTAGTGGGTTTTCCGTAAGATTGGCAATGTGTGGACATATTGGGAACTCCTTGAAGGAAGACTGTATACATCGTTGGATCTCTGTACTTCCAAGTTTGACAACACTGGATTCAACCAGCTATGAACTGAAAAGACAGACACGCTTTGGTATGGAGGGAGATTGATTCTAAGACCCTCTCACATGTGTGAATGCTCAAGTCCCGTGTCTAAAATGACACAGATTTGCACATAATTGACTACACATTATATATATAACCCTCTCAAGATTATTGTTTTTTAATGTTTTAAGTATATATTAATACATTTGATTATTTTAATCCCAATAATTATCAAATTAAATAAATCCATGACAGAAAATTAACTACTTAATCTTACACAATGGCAAAGAAGAAGTCAATAATAATGTGTTTTAAAAGCAGTTCCCTTCCCCCAAACCTTTCTACCTAGGACAGAGACATATGTCCTTTGATCTAAGATTACTTATAATACCCAAATGAGTATAAAGATTATGTAAATAGAATAAAGACAAGAATGCAGATAGAGATGACTGTATGCTAGACTTGAAGTAGCCACAGGAACCTCCTTTATCTCCATGTGTTTTCAGAGAACTTACTGTTATCTGACATTATCTTATATTTATTTGTTTGTGGCAATAAACTCCCAACCAGGAGAACAAGGATCTTGATATTTTAATTATAATTCCCATATCTAAAGCTGGAAGATAGCAAGCCCGCGTGCCCGGGCGCACACACACCTATATCAGAATGAGTGAAACTGGGTTCTACTGCTTCTTAGATTTGCGACCTTGATCAAGTTTCTGAGAGCGCCAGGAACAAGATCCTTCGCAGAGGCAGAACACAGCCTTCTTTTCACAGTCCCTGACATTCAAAGCTCCATGACTTAAATGAGACCCTTACCTCCTACGTACATATTCCCCGATAAACTTGCTTCCTGTGTACTCCATGGAGGACTGCTTCTAGTTTCCAGTCCTTGTCTCGGAGTCCCAGTGTTTACCGTCTCACTATGACAACCAGGAGAGGAAGGCGGAGCCAAGACAAAGCCCCACCCCTTGGGCGGCCGAGCGTCCTGATATCGCGCATGCTCCGTGGCTCGCGCTCGGGCAGAGCAATGCGCCTGCGTGCCGCCGGCCGCGCATGCGCAGGTGCTGTTTGCGGCTCCTCGCGGTGGAAAGGGGAATTCAAGGAGACCCGGGAACACAGCTAAGGGCTCCTCTCCCGGGTCCGGGCTGCCACCGTCATGCCGGGGATAGTGGAGCTACCCACTCTGGAAGAGCTGAAAGTGGATGAGGTGAGGCTCGTCCGGACGACCGGCAAGGGGGCAAAAGGGCTGCAGCTTCCCAGGCCTGGGCCTAGGCCCGCTTCGCCTCTGCGGACCCTGGGTTCGGACCCCAGCCTCTCGCCCCCAGCCAAGCCGGGGTGACCCCTAAAGGTCCCTGCACAGCTCAGGGAAGCGCACCCCCGCCCCAGCCTTCTCCCGCTGTGGCTCTAGCCCCTCCCCCCCGCCCGCAGCGATCTGCTTCTCTTTCCGTGAATAATAGTAGTACTTTAAAATTAAGCATCAGCCATGGCCACTTCATGTCGTTCAAACCTCCCTGTGAAGTGAGTACACCGCCGCCCCAGATGCGCACACTCGATGGAGAGCGACAGTCACCTTACAGCAGTATCCTCGGTGCGGAAGTCATTACTGGAAGAGCGAGTGAGCTGACAGCTGCGGGGCGGTGTTTGGTAACAGGACACATCTAAAGCCTTCATTTGTTAAGAGATATTTGAATAATTACTATGCACACGTACACTAGGAAATAAGAGATGAAGTCCCTGCTGTTACAGAATTTGTACTGAAAGAGCGCGAGAGATATTTCAAGAGGCAGTTGCAGGACAGCATAGTTAGTGCTATGAGGGGCGAAGTGAAAACAGTATTAGTAATTTCAGCAGACGCGGCCCAGCCAACCTAGAAACCAGGCAGGTGTAATAATTTGAACACCTTAGTTTATTAAATTAATCCCCGCAGCACTATAGGGTAGGATATAATTAGTCTTTTCGTGTTGTAGGTTGGAAATCCCGACAGCACTTAGCAAGGATATGGTAGAGTTGGAGCATGAACCCGGCTCTAGATCAAAGGTTCCATGGGACATTTAAGTGTTTAGGGATTCAGGTTGTTTGATGTGACCCTGTTGGTGGGAAGTGGCAGGCGCTGATCCTAGAGAATACACTACTCTGACTGAAATAGGACTTGGTAGTAAATGCACAAGGCCATAAGACCAATTTGTTTATATTTGATCCTGTAAGTGAGGTGAGAGGAAAGGAGGGAAAGTAGAAGACTGACAAGGCAAGACAGGATAGTAAATATTAAAGGTGAGGGAGGCCAAGACTAAAATAAAAAAATACGAGCTAGGCACAATGTGGATTGACCTGCATTACTTCATGTAGTCTTCTTAAATGCCTGTGGGGATGGCACCTGTTATTTTCCTCAGATGAAATTATTAGTTGTGTTCAAGGACTTTAGGAGAAGTCACCTTTTTGTACGAGCGCCAGGAAGGCTGCTGCCATGGAGCCAGTCTTGGTTTTTGCCCTGCCATGAAGCCAGGTTAAACTTGAGTTAGTGTATTTTTGGTTTACTTTTAAGTTGGCTCAACAACTATCTGACATTCTGTCTTATACAGGATTTCTCTCTTGGGGATAAATTTGACCGTAAGGTTCACACAGTTGAGTGGAGATTAAGATAATTATGTAAATACATACAATATAAGACAAAGTACAATTAAATACTATGAAAGAGGTGAAGACATGGTTTAAGGAAAGAGTAGTATTATTAAACCTGGTTTCTAATCCTTAATGACTCAGTCACCTTGATTAGGTTGTTTCTAGCATTTGCAGACCCAAGTAGGAGGTATTTGAAGCTGTACTGTTCTCTGAGGTTATTAAGGGAATAGACATTTGTTGGGCGTAATGTAAAACATGGCTAAGTGCCACTTGAAGACTGGCATTTTTACGGGCAGACATGGGAGAACTCCAAGGGTAGGATATGAACAAAGGTAAGAGATGTGAGAATGCAGGGGATGCAGAAGTGGTTGTGGGAACAATGAGTTCAGTGTTTTGAGAGAACAGCAGATAGACCTTTCCGAGTGTTCTGGATGAGAGGGCTGGTAAGGTAGTTTAAAACCTGAAACCTTCGAAAGCTTGCTAGGAAGTTTGGATTTTATTCTGCCTTTAAGCTAAATCCTTTGAAGAGTTGGTTGCTAATTTGTTTTATTCAGTTTCATTTGTGTATTTGGTACAGGATCTCACTACACAGATTGGATGCCTGGTGATCCTCCTGTTTTCAGCCTCCCCAGCGCTGGGATTACGGGTGTGTGCCACCATGCCCAGACTCTGTTGCCAGCTCAGTGCACGCTGGGGGCGGGGACGGCGCATTATGCAGAACTGGGGATCAAACCCTAAACGCTGTGCTTGCCAAAGCAGGCACTTAGCTAATTTGTTTTAATAGCAAAGTGAGAACTGTTACTTACTGAAGAACGGATCGAAGGGACTGGGGAGATAGCACAGCAGCCTAAGTGCCTTCCTGGCAAGTGCAAGGACCTGAGTTTGATTCCTGGGCATGGTAGCTGGCCCCAGAACCCTGTGTATGCTGTGCCAGCCACTGAAACCAGGTGTGGTGGCACATGTCTGTAATCCTAGTGCTGGGGAGGCTGAGACAAGAGCTCACTATGAGTCTGAACTGTGTAGTGAAACCCTGTATCAAAAGAATAAAAATAAAAAAATGGATTTAAGATAGAAGAAAAAGAAGGATTACTACTCTCGAGCTGTTAAAATTGAAAAAGATGTTAATAGACCTAATTAATGACTGTGACTACAGAGAAGGACAAATATAGTTCGTGTATCTGGAATTGATCAGACTAGAGGTTGAGGATCAGTGTCAATGTGGGATTTGTGACATAGCAGGACTTGGAAAGCCAAAAGAATCAGCAGGTGTGGGGGACAGGTTTAACCCATTTTGGACCTCACTGACTTAGGGTTATGACACTGAATTTTTCCAGTCTCATGGAAAAAGTATTTGGAAATTTTGGACTATAAAATCTTTGGACCCATTCACCATTTTGAGTACAAATAAAAATAGTCAATATCGCTGATGTATTTTTGTTTGTCAGGGACTGTTCTTAGTGTTCTTATATGTCTTCCTTGATTCTTGTAATGATTCTATAAAACAAGTAGCATCATGCTCTGCTTTGCATTAGTGGAAGAAAATATATGGCCTGATACAAATTAAGTACTGTAAAAAGGGGTGCAGGCACTGGTTTAAGGGAGCTTGGCCTGGAAGACTATAGGCTGTATACTGGGGCTTTTTCTGCTTCCCTTTCCACACCTGCAGACAGTATGATCCCTGCTGAGTGGGGCGGCTGGGTGAGGGGAGCTGAGGAAGGATGTTGGAATGCCGAGTTCTTGTGACAAAGGGAGCTGAGTGCTTTGAGAGGGTATTGATGGTGAGCAGCTGTGGAAGACACTGTAGCTGTTGGAGGTCATGTCGTGGTGAGGAGCAGGTGAGGGGACTTGGTGACCTCTTAAGCTCTTCCCTTGTCCCAGTAATGTCCATGCCCGAGAAGAGGCCCGACTGGACTGGAGGTCATGGTGTCTGGTTCCAGGTCTGAGGCAACCACGGACCCACGTGTCAGCTGGAGCACAGCCCTCTTGTTCATCAGTTAGGAAAGGGATTCAGTGAAGAGTTCTCGTCCTTAATTTCCCACGACAGGAGTGGCGTTTTACACAGATGTACCTTCATTTTGATAAGACCTTCACATTTACAGAGGAATGAATAGTGCTGAAGGCCTTTTTTGGTGCCGGATTGCCATGGGCATGTGAGAAGTTAAAGCAGTCATTCAGGATATTTTAGAGCATTTCATAAGGAAATAAATACAGCTCACTTAATTTTTTAAATGGATTAAGCTTTAAAGAAAAGCTTGAGTGTTTATTTTCCCACTGTTCACAGGTAATAATAAGCAAACAGGGTTCATTTATTTTAACCTGAATAGACTTTTATTTTTAAAAACTTTAATACAATTACAGATTTTTTTAATCTACAAAGTTATTAGTTTTTTGTTCTGTTTTGTTTTCATATTTTAGGGAAGGGTCTACAGGGTGTTGAGGATCTCACTACTAGACTCATAGTGATCCGCCTGTTTACAGCTTCCCAAGAGCTGGGATCACAGATGCATGTCACCATGCCCATTCTCAATTGCTGTCTCAGCATGCCCTGGGGGCAGGGCCAGCATGGCAGGCCCGGGGATCAAACTGCCCCCCATACCACCCCTGTGCCTGCTTGTAGGTGCTTTAATCCGCTGATCTATTTGGCTGGCCCAGAGTTACTAGTTATATTTAACAAGTTACCTTATTTGCAGTTTTCACTTATGTCATTACCTTTGTTTGGATAATTATAATAGTTGTGATATTAGTAGATGTGATCATGAGCATGTTCTCTTTCTATGCCATGTAGACAGATTACTTTGCCTGCCATTTATCTTTTTAATAACTTAGCCTGTGTAAAGTACATAAAAATAAAATGATAGATTTTCCCCATTAAGTCTTTAATTTTGGTAATTAAATCCAGTAGTACATTAAAGTATAGCTCATACTAACTAGATTTTATTCTAGAACTTAGAATCCATTTTAGAAAATCTTCTGATGCCCTTTGTGATATTTATAGGGTTTATAAAATGCAGCTTGATAATTTTAGTAGGTAACAATTTCAGAGAATAACACCAATAGTAAATGAAGCAAAACCAGTTCACATTAGAAGAAACTCCCTTAAGGAGTATCTAAATAGCTCCATCCCAGATATCAACAATAAATATACCAAACTACTTTAAGGGAGAAAGAGTTGCCTACTGTTTATGTGGGTTGTTTTATTTTGTTGAGAGTTTTATTTTGTTAAGACAGGGTCTCACTATGTAGCTTAGGCAGACCTTGAACTCACTGTGTAGCGTAGGCTGGCCTTGAACCCATGGCAATCCTCCTGC